AAGAAGAGGAACAGGTTAGAGCAAAAGCGTCTTAATGACTTGGTTTATATAAAATATAACCAAGCACTTAAAGAGCGCTACACTCTACAAGACCAACTTGATCCAATTACTTTGGATCATATTGATGGAAGTAATGAATGGTTGATCGGAACACTCGAAGAAGAAGATGGTTAGGAAGAAAATGAGTTGGTCTTTGATGATGACAACCTCACATGGGGAGATGTAGCCGAGGCTAGTGGTGTTAGAGAACTCATAAGGCAAACTAGAACACATGCAAGATCTAAAGGAAAGTCGCCTGCTACTCCCGCTCCTACAACTTCAAGAGTTCGAAAATCAGTGCAAGTTGTGGTTAGTGATGATGATGATGACACCGAAGAAGAAGAAGAAGAATTGGAAAAGGAAGATTGTGAGGACGTCCAAGATGAAGAGAATTTAGATTTAGATGAGGATGATGAGCTTTGATTACTTATATTTACTTTTTGTTCTATTTCAGACTCTACAATTTCTTAATGTTGCTTGTCTTTATTTGGAACTAAACTTATAGAATTTGGTTGTTTTATGCATCTTGTTGACATTTACTATTTTGGTATTGATTCTTTTAAGGTAATTTATGCACTATATATATAATTTTTACTTATTTATCAAGGTGCGTCTCGCTTCAATCGGGCGTCGTCTTTGTATCGCCTCTCGCCTCAAGGCGATCAAAGGACTCGTCGCCTTGCAGTGCGCCTTGCGCCTCGAAAACACTGCTCACAATACACCAACCTAACCTTAAAATATTTAGTTGCCAAGGAAACTCATAGCATTTTAATATTCTAGCTAAGGGGTCACTATGGGTTTGAACATATTCCCTCCGACCTTTTAAGTCTATTAAAAATCATTTTCCTTACAAAAAATGATATATTCATAATCGTATTGGATAAATGAATATCACAAAAATAATGAAAAGACCAAGTTGATCTATTTACCACAAGATCATCACTAAATATAAAACAGGTAACCAAAAGAGAAACAGAACCAGAATGTGGAGAAATCATAACATACAGCTGATATTTAGTTTGCAGATGAGAAAAGCGTACAGCCTTGATCTTTTCTTCAAGTAGGAAACGTTCATGCAATGCTGCAATAGCCGCAGCCACTTGGGACACAAAAATCACAGTACAAGTAACAGTTTCTTCTCCAGTAACATTGTCATAATTTCTAACTTCCTGAACCAATCTTTTCGACTTCACATTCTGTGTGTCACTACAGGTAGATTCCTGATTATGAGAACCATGTCCCGGCTTTTGTTCCAGTGGTAAAAGTAACAAGCCTGATGCAGCATCTAATATACATTGTCTAAGCATGTGAATGGCAAAGAACTTCCCGTTTGTTTCCCCATACAACACAGAAAGCTGAGATGCTAGCCACATTAATACTTGAATCAAAACTGGACACTTAAAATTGTGGCTGCCTGAGATAATTAGGGATCCATCCTCCATTTCATTTCCATTTTCCAGAGCAATCTGAAATCCCACAGCTTCTTTTAAGATTGCCATAAAACACAGCCTGAACAGCGGAAGTATATGATCCCTCATAGCAACATCAATAACAACACCATACCGAGGCGAATTCGCAATGATCCATGTCATCAAATGGTCGTCAATGACCAATTTTGTGCCCAATAGAGAACGGAGAACAATGTGCGAATACATAGTGGGATAGTCATTCCACATTTCAACCTCATTTCTAAGAGCCCACAACTCGGAGGGAAGTATTCGAGTCTCCTTCCACGCACTCTCCATCTCTCGACCGTCCTTACTGACAAAATTTGCACATTCAACAGCCAAAACACGAGGAAGAGTGAAAACCTTGGACATTTCATCCTGGTCACACAAGGTAACCACACCAGGGCAATCAACATAGAAGAAATTGGAACTACTATCCGCAAAATCATTGAGAGAGAAGCAAAGGTCGGCATCAGAATCCGGCAGAGCTTGATGGAAACGCTTCTCATTAATCAAATCACGAGATGATTGAAGAGAGTGGGGGTAAAGCAAGGAGTGGAGGAGGTGGGTCGGGTCAATTCGAGGCTGGGGAGCGGAAGGGCAGAGGAGGGAGTGGCGGAAGAGAGAATGCGGCGGCAGACGGTGGCGCCGATCAAAAGCACACTGAACGAAGTCGGAATCGTCGCCATTATCAGATGGGTTTCGGGTGAGGCTGAGGTAGGAGAGAGATTGAAGGGTCTGATTGGCGACATGGATGAGGTTTTTGAGGGAGGAGAGCGAAGAAGACAAGTCGAGTGGAAGATCTTGAGACTCAGAATGTGAGAATTCAGGGCTGACAAATAAATTAGGGTTAGGGTTTTGGGGCAGAAAATTTGGGAAACTTTGGTTGGGAAATGGAAGAGCAGGGTTCATGGCTCGAAGTGTAAAGGGAGCTTCCAAAGTTTAACTGATGGAAGGAAGCAGTTCGGTTTTGCTTTTAAACCTATATTTGCTGACATCAGCAAAAGTGTCATTTTCAAAAGTGTCATTTTCAAGGGTTTGGAGGGTACTAAATTGGTCACTAATGAGGTACCACAAATCACGGACCACGAGAAAATACGATATTTGACAAAAAGAATTAAAATATAAATTTAGAAATTAGAAAATAAAACATAAATTTCTTTTAAAAATTCAACAAAGATTTTCCACCAAAATCCACTAAAATTCTCACTCCCAAATTAACCATGAATTGCAACTATTTATAAGCAATTTGTACAATCATGAGGTATTATATTTGGACACTAATCATTGGTAGAAAATAGATATATGGGATATTGAGAATTAAGCACATGGATATGTGTTAATTTGTCACTTGGAGACATAAAGCAAATGGGAGAATTTGACACATGGGGTTAGGGTTACATCTTTCTTTTTAACACCTAAGGTTGGACATCTAATTTGGATAACGTTCATAATACTCCCCCTTAGATGTCCATTGTTTATATGAAATATGTCTCGTTAAAACCTTACTAAGAAAAACCCAGTGGGAAAACCAATCTAAAAAAAACCTAGTGAAGGAAAAAGAGTACATATTTCATATAATCAAGCAAACCCAAAATGATACAATAAATTAGGCTCCCCTCATAGAAACATCACTTGAGATCTTTGAGCCACCGTATTCCAATGTCGCGTACTAATCTTTCAAAGGTTGTAGTAGGTAACGCCTTTGTAAATAAATTTGCCAAGTTATCCTTTAAACAAATTTGTTGAATATTAATGTTGTCATTTTCTTCAAGATCATGAGTGTAGAAGGGCTTAGGTGAGATATATTCTGTTCTATCCCCTTTAATATATCCTCTTTTGATTTGGACTATACATGCTATGTTATATTCGTATAATATCGTTGGAAGATTATTAGGAGACAAGTCACATGTTCCATGAATGTGTTAAGTCATTGATCTTAGCCATACACATTCTTGACTAGTCCCATGAATTGCAAGAATTTCAGCATGATTTGAGGAGGTAGCTGTTATGGTCTATTTCACTGATCGCCATGATACAGCAATTCATCCACATGTGAATAAATAACCTATTTGAGATCTAGTTTTGTGTGGATCAGATAAATATCCGGCATCTGCATAACCAACTAGATCAAAATTTGATTTGTTTGAATAAAACAAGTTCATATCAGTCGTTCCTCGAAGATAACAGAATATTCGCTTGACTCTATTCCAATGTCTTTTTTTTGTAGAATAACTATATCTCGCTAATAAATTAACTGAAAATGTTATATCTGGTCTTGTATTATTAGCAAGATACATAAGTGCACCAATTGCACTAAGATATGGTACTTTCGGACCAAGAATTTCTTCATTATCTTTTCGAGGTCGAAAGATATCTTTCTTCACATCAATTGAAAGAACTTCCATTGGAATGTTCAATGGATGTGCTTTGTTCATATAAAATCTTTTTAAAACTTTTTCTGTATAAGTTGATTGATGCACAAATATCTCATCGGCTAAATGTTTGATTTGCAAGCCAAGGCAAAATTTTGTTTTTCCGTGATCCTTCATTTCAAATTCTTGCTTAAGATACTCTATTGCCTTTGAAAGCTCTTCAAGAGTTCCAATTATATTTAAATCATCAACATACACAGTTATAATAGCAAATCCTGACTATGATTTCTTTATAAAAAAAACACACGGACAAATTGAATTATTTTGATATCCTTCCTTCAACAAATATCCACTCAGGCGATTGTACCACATTCGCCCAAATTGTTTTAATCCATATAATGATCTCTGTAACTTTATTGAATGCAGTTCTCGAGAACTTTGATTATATGTTTCAGGTATCTTAAATCATTCAGGGATTTTCATATATATATCATTATCAAGAGATCCATATAAATATACTGTGACTACATCAATAAGATGCATGTCAAGACTTTCAAACACAACACAGTCAGCGACCAATTAAATATCTCAGTGTAATCGTATCCACCACCGGAGAATATGTATCATTATAATCAATATCAGGTCTTTGTGAAAACCAGCCTTGTGCAACCAGCCTTGCCTTATATCTTATGACCTTGTTGTTTTCATTTCTTTTTCTTACAAATACTCATTTGTATCCCACAGGCTTAACATCTTGTGGTGTTTGGACTACTAGTCCAAAGACTTGACGTTTTGAAAGTGAGTTTAATTTTGCATGGATTGCTTCTTTCCACTTAAGGCACATTTTTTTGTTGACATTCTTTGATAGATTTTGGTTCAGAATCTTCACTTTAGGATATAATGCCAAGAGCTACATTATAAGCAAAAATGTTGTCAATAAGTATATTAGTTCGGTTCCATCTTTTCCATATCATGATTTAATGTATTGAAATCTCATTACTATCTTCAGGTACTTGACATTCCTCGTTATTTTCATGAGTAGTCATATTTAGGTTTTCTTCTAGAATATCCACATTCTTAATCGAATTATTTTGATTATTGACTACTTTTCTTTTTCGAGGATTTTTATCTTTAGAACCTATTGGTCTTCCATGCTTCTACCGTTTGCAAACTTATTAATGACAACTTGTTGTATTGAGATATCAATTTTTGATGGAGCATTTGCAGCTGCAATATAGGATTTAGTCACTTTATTAGCATCTATAAATGCATCTGGTAATTGATTTGCTATATTTTAGAAATCGATTATTTTCTGAACTTCAAGTTCACTTTGATCTATACGGGGATCTAAATGAACAATAAGAATTCATTCCATGTAATTTCTTTTTCCAACTTCTTAATTCCTCCCCCTAATGTTGGAAAATTTGTCTAATTAAAATGACAATCAGTAAATCATGCAGTAAATACATCATCTGTTAGGGGCTCAAGATATTTAACGATTGATGGGAATCAAAATCAACATATATTCCCAACTGCCTTTGCGGGCCAATCTTAGTACGTTGTGGTGGAGCAATAGGAACGTATACTGCACATCCAAAAATTCGCAAATGGAAATATTCGGCTCTTGGCCATAAGCTAATTTTAATGGATAACATCTATGATAGGCTGGCTTAATACGTCTAAGTGATGCTACATGCAAAATAGCATGTCCTCATATTAATGTAGGAAGCTTAGCTCTCATAAGTAATGGTCTAGCAATTAACTGCAGTCGTTTTATAAATGATTCAGCTAAACCATTTTGTGTATGAACATGAGGTACAAGATGTTCAACATCTATCCGAATTGCCATACAATAATTATTAAATGATTGGGATGTAAATTCGTCATCATTATCAAGACGAATGTTCTTAATTGTATAATCAGGAAATTACGCTCGTAACTTAATTATCTGAGTAAGTAATCTTACAAATGCAAGGTTTCGACTTGATACTAAGTATACATGTGACCATCTACTCGATACATCTATTAATACCAAAAATATCTAAAGGGTCGCTTGATGGATTAATAGGTCCACATATATCACCATGAATTCGTTCTAAAAATGTAGGTGATCCTGTCCCCACTTTAGTTGGTGATGGTCTAATGACTAATTTACCTTGAGAGCAAACATCACATAACAATTCATTAGATTGAAGAATCTTCTGGTTTTTCAATGGATATCTATGTGAATTCTCAATAACTCTTCTCATCATTATGGACCCTAGATGACCCAATCTGTCATGCCAAATAGTAAATATATCTGGATTCATGAACTTCAGGTTTATTGTTGCTCCCGTTGGTCAAGATTTATGATTTTTCATCAACAACTCATTGTTTTGCTCAGCAACAAGTAGACATGATATGAGCTCATAATATTTCTTAAAGCATTTCTCTCGATATTATTGTTGCAAGAGCATATTCGAGACATGAAAGGTAGAGAATGTCTTCTCAAGCATATCTCCATCAGTAATTTTTTTCCGCTTAACTTCAATATCGAACCGATTATAAATAATAAAGAATTATAATCACTTACTGATTTGAAATCTTGGAGCCTTAAATGCATCCATTCGTATCGAGCTTGAGGAAGAATAACAATCTTCTGATGATCATATCTCTTTTTCAAATTTTGTAATAATACACGAGGATCTTTTATTGTCAGATATTCCATCTTCAATCACTCGTGTAGATGGTGACGAAGGAAAATCATGACTTTTCCCTTATCTTGACCTGTCGTAGTATTTGCTTCTTTGATGGTTTCTCCCAGATTCATAGTATTGAGATGAATCTCAGCATCAAATACCCATGACAAATAATTATTGTCATTGATGTCAAGGGCAGTAAACTCTAATTTGGTGAGGTTTGTCATGGTAACACTATCACAAAGAAAATATATGTATATTAGAAATTTGATATATACTAAGCATGAAAAATTAAAGGAAAATAAAAAAACATAACTTTAGGACCTACCTTTAGAGGGAAAGTTGACAGAGAGTCGTGCTGATAACGTCTTGTAAAATTACGGAGCAAAATGAGGCACCACGAGTCACAAACAACGAGAAAATACGAGATTTGATAAAATATAAATATAAATTTAGAAATTAGAAAATAAAACATAAATTTATGTTAGAAATTCAACAAAGATTTTCCACCAAAATCCACTAAAATTCTCGCTCCCAAATTAACCATGAATTGCCACATTTATAGGTAATTTGTGCAACCATGAGGTGTTACATTTGGACACTAATCATAGGTTGAAATAGACACATGAGATATTGAGAATTAAGCACATGACTATAGGTTAACTTGTCACTTGGAGACACTAAGCAAATGGGAGAATTTGACACATGGGGTTAGGGTTACATGTTTCTTTTTGACACCTAAGGTTGGGCATCTAATTTGGATAATGTTCATAATAAACATATATTAATTATTTCATGAAATTTTATATTTAGTGAAATGTTTATTTGTTAATTTAAATATTTGTTATTATTTTTTTATATTTATAATTTTTCTAGAAA